TCATTGCTATTGTAATTCGGAATTCGGAGACATCCAAATCTCAGAATAACAGTGAATTTGTCTAAATTTCGATTTGTAATTAAACGAACTGCACATGTCTAGTGGATGTCTCTGAATTTGGCAAGGCTTCATGGATGCTGCAATTCGCCATGGGAATAAGTGGGGAGAGAGGGTGGTCTAAAGCAGGCCATGGAAAACCTTATCAAACCCTCTCATGCACCACTGCAGCAACAGATTACCTACAATAAAGATCTATTGCTCACTGTTATCACTGAAGTGATCTTTTATTGCACAGTTATCAGCTCTGCCCCATCCGGGGCGGACTGACAACTCATGGGGCCCCCAGACAATAGGGGATCATGGGGCCCCTGTGTCCTAGCCCATACTCAAACCACTCCCAAAAAAGCATATGAAAGGTATCAGGGGCATCCTATGGGGTCCTCTGCTGCCCCTGGGCCCTTAGGCAGTGCCCTAGTGTCCGAATGCTCAGTCTGCCCCTGGCCCCATCTTAAAGTTTGTTATCTCAAAAAATTCTAGTTCACATATGGGTCTGTTATGTCACATTGTTTGAGTTAAATCTAACCTCTTACTTTGGTATCTCTTCATCTCATGTGTACCTGGTGATCTTGCCTGTCCCCCCCTCTGTCATTTTCATTCTAATCACACCAAGCAGGCAGATCTGTGCTGGCATGGTAAGTTTGTGTCTACCTGCTTGTCATTTGGAGATACAGGACACTGTGCATGTACACGGTGTGCCTGTATGTTCTGTAGTCATTGCACCCTGACTATCCCTGCTATGTTGATTCACAGGGTTCTCAGCTGAAGCCTTGCTATTAAAACAGCAGCAGAGATGGAGAGAGGAGACACACTCCCTGCCCAGCTTGCTGAACTGATTGACAGGGCTCCCAGCAGGAGCTTTGCTTTTAAAATATCAGTATGTAGTATGTAGTATGCAAGTGCAGGTTGACCTCTCTACACAGGTGCTGCTGCTCCACCACCCTGCACAGAGGGTGGACAGGAGGAATACTCATTCTTCTCAGGCCTCCATGTCTTCTGGTGGACTGCTGTCCAACTGAACACGGTTACTTTGGTGAACCCTGTGGCCATCTTTAATGAGGGCAGTGCTTATAAAAAGCACTGTCCCCATGTAGCTGGTGCGCATTCCACATATTGTTAGGTTAGGGAAGTTGATTGACAAGAAGAGTGTGTCTAGCATAGGAAGAGTTCCAGAGGAGGAAGGACAGCTTAGGGACTGTCAGTGCTTCATTGGAGAACCTTTCCACTACCGGCTCATCTGCATCTGCCATCTAGCTACCCCCTTTTGCTCCAGGTGCTGCCTGTCTTGGTGTAACTTTTACTGTTGGAACGTTTTGATAATAGAATTTGCACAATTACAACCACTGTGTGTGCTGTGCCTTCCCTCAGAGTTGCCTATCACCAGGGCCCCTACAGCCTACAAGCAGAAACAGAGAAAGGAGACGTGCCTCCTGCCCAGCCTGCTGTATTGACTGACAGGGCTCCCAGCAGGAGCTTTGCTTTTTAAACAGCAGCAGAAATGGGGAGAGGAGACATGCTTTCACCTAGCCCCACTGAATTGATTGACAGGACTCCCAGCAGGAGTCTCATTTTTAAAACAACAGACGAAATGAAGAAAAGAGACATGCCCCGCTGCCCAGCCCCACTGTATTGATTGACAGCGGCTCACAGCAAGTGGGTATGTCATAGCTGTAGTGGAGTTGGAGAGAGCGCACACCCCCCATGTGTAAATGCTGTGAGATTCATGTGATAACAGAAAAGAACATATAAAAGATTTTAAATGTAGATGCAATTTAAAGTGGTTGTAAAGGCTTAAGGTTTTTTTGCTTTCATGCATTCTATACATGAAGGTAAAAAAACAGAAGTCCGCCCAGCCCCCCCCCCCCCCCAAATGCTTACCTGATCCCCGTTGCGATCCAGTCCCTCATTAGTTGAGACAGCAGTAGAAGCCTATGGCTCCTGCTGCTGTCAATCATAGCCAGTGAGCCAATGAGGAGAGAGGAGGGGGTGTGGCCGAACCGTGGCTCTATGTGTGAATGGACACACAGAGCAGCGGCTTGGGAGTGAGCCTGCTTGGATGCCCCCATAGCAAGTTGCTTGCTCTGGGGGCACTTGGAAGGAGAGGAGGTCCAGGAGCACCAGCGGGGGACCCAGAGAAGAAGAGGTTTAGGGGCTGCTCTGTGCAAAACCATTAGACACAGCAGGTAAGTTTTTAACACATTTGTTATTAAAGGAATTTATTAAACAAAATAAATAAATATCACTTTAAAGCAGTAGTAAACTGCAGCAAAAAAAGGAAAAAAAATTGGGCCTTGGGCAGTTTAATTCATAATGTGCTAGTATGCATAGTATGCGGTGCATACTAGCACATTATGACAAACTTACCTGAAAACAAAGCCCCCCAGCGGGGTGCTGTCACTGCTGTAGGCACTTCCATTTTCACCTGGTCTTCCTTCCAGGTTTGCGGGCTTCGGCGGTATGAATGACCGAAACGTGATGATGTCACATCCACACATGCATGTGGGAGTCACCGCTTATGGCACAGGGCTCTGAAATAATGGGTGCACGTTTAGAAGATATTTATTATACCTATAGGTAAGTCTTATTATAGGCTTACCCAGGGGTGGACTGACCATTTGGAATTGTGGGCACTGCCCGAGGGCACAGGGTCAGTAGGGGGCTCCATGAGATGCCCCTGGTACCTTTTTCATAGGCTTTTGTGAGTTTGGGTGAGGACACAGGGGCCCCATGATCCCCCTTTGCCCGGGGGCCCGATGAGTTGTCAGTCCGCCCCTGGGCTTACCTATAGGCAAAAATCAACTAAGGGAGATTACGCCCACTTTAAGGCTTGGATCACATATGTGATCCAAGGGGGGATCCGCACTAAAATCCGTGAAGCCGCACCACCCGCACAGAGGAATGCGGACCCCACGCCGCCCGCACTGGAAAATGAAACCGTACTGGGAACCGAGCTTCCTGTGTGGGCTGTGTTTTCAGAAGAAGTGCAGGGACTTCTTCCCTACGGGGCACAGGAGTCCATTCAAATGAATGGGCTCTCCTGCCAGTGCAAAACGCGGCCTGCACAGCCGCATTACCAAGGGTAAGATAAATAATACCATATGTTACAAGTGACTGCTTTGATACTACTTTCACACATTTTACAGGAATGCTGAAAAGACAGGCAGTACCTATGGTGTCACAGATGACATCACTGCATTTTCCTTTTAGACACAACACCAAAATATTGTGTTTCACAACTCATGGGGCCCCCGGCAATAGGGGATCATGGGGCCGTTGTGTCCTTGGCCAAACTCAAAAAAGCCTATTAAAAAGGTACCAGGGGCATCTCATGGGGCTCCCTACTGACCCAGGGCCCTCGGGCAGTGCCCGAGTTTCCAAATGGTCAGTCCGCCCCTGGTTTCATTTATGCTCTTCTGCAGTGCTCTGTAGCAGGATGTTCATTTGCATTTTCATTTGTATTTTCTGTAGTAAATCAAAATGAATTCTTCAATTGCATTTTATAGCAATAACCTAAAACGAATCTTCTGTTATACATGTAAGTTACTCTGTAATTAATGTTATGTGAATTTTATAAAGACAATTATCTAGTTATCATACATTGTAGCCAGCCTGCAGCTTCTTAGTAACATTGGATGGCACACTGTAGGATGGGAGGGGGGTTGTCTGGAATCTGGAACACTGTGTCAGATTTCAGGACTAGTACAGTGTGCTCCGTCATGGATGCTTTTGGACAAGGGAGAGCAAAAGTGGACATCTGAGAAGTTATATCGGAAGCCCAGGCTACACTGATATTCCCAACCCAAAATAGCAGAATCTTGTGATACATGTCCTGTTTACCTGACACAAGTCATGGAACTTTACAGGCCAAAACCTATGAATAACTGACCGTTCCAGATGAGAGGTCATGGGCTCACCCAGCTCTGCTAACATATGGTGACAGTTCATTCTAGGATTAAGGGGAAGGATTAGGCAATGCCGTTATATAAAACATAATCCTCTCATTCGTCCCAATTATCATTGAAAACTTTGACATAAAAGTGAATAATCTTTCTTTGTTATGATCTAAAGTCTTTGTAGAAGGTATCTGCTTATCAACACATATGTATTTTTAGCATGATAAACAATAGTTGTTCTTTTTTTACCTGCTGCCATATGTGTGACATACATCGAAGGGGAACTCTGGTGAAAAAAAAATCATATATGCATAATGGCAATTGTTCAAAAATTATAACTCTATGCTCTTAAAGTGATACTAAACCCCGAACCCTGCATTCACTATATCTGGTCTCCCTCAGTACACAAAACATGGAAATGCAATTATTTTAGTAAATATAAACTGCTAAATACCTTTTCACATCAGCAGTATATAGCAGTCTTGTGACTTCAGTAGAGCACTGGTTAAAGCTTGTAGGAGGAGTTTTCTTTCTGCTCTAGGAGGATGCAAAACCCCTGATCTCTCTCTGGACAGTGCTGATTGGCCCTGTGCTGATCAAATGCACTCTCCCCTCAAAAAAAACCTCTCTAGCTATGCACACTAAACTAAGCATGTGCAGAAGGGCTACGGGTTCAGTCTGTTTCTTTCAGTGTAGACATTTGAACAAGAGGAGAGGCAGAGAAGTCAGGATCAAACAGCCTTACACAATGCAGAGGATTAACCCCTTAGGTTCCACAGTGAGTATAACAAGCATGCTTTACTGCATATACAGACTGGTTTTACTGTTGTGGGTTTAGTAATACTTTTAAGAGCTTTCATTTAAAAGTGAATCCGTCAGAGGCAAAATATGGGATCTGGTATTGCTGATTTGTTTTTAACCGCCTCCTGCCCGCCCTACAGTACAATGACGGGCACAAGGCGGTTCTCTAATTCTGGGAGGACGTCATATGATGTTCTCCCATTCTCATCGCGCATGCGCGGCTCTGGGAGCGCACAGCGCAGCGATCGGTGGTGCGTTGTGTCCCTCGGGCACAGCGGATCACCGATCCACGGAAAGAGTCAAAGATGTCGGCTCGGTCATGTGATCAGCTGTGTCCAATCACAGCTAATCACATGTAACCGGGGAAATGCCAGTTATCAGCATTTCTCTCCTTACGAGCTGTCACGCTGACAGCTTGAGAGGAGAGGAGAGCCGGTAATCGGCATTCCTCGGAGGGACATCTACATTGATCATCAGAGCACTGATGATCAGTGTGCCCTGATGATCAGTGTACCCCAGCAGTGCCACCTGTCAGTGTCCATCGGTGCCATGTGTCAGTGCTCATCCATGCCACCTGCTAGTGCTCATCAGTGCCATTTCAGTGCCTATCAGTGCACATCAATGCCACATATCAGTGCCCATCTGAGCTGCCTTTCAGTGTCACCCATCAGTGCCAGTCAGAGCCACCTATCAATGCCAGTTAGTGCCATCTATCAGTGCTGCCAATCAGTGCCGCCTATCAGTGACAGTCAATGCCGCCTATTAGTGTGCATCAGTGCTGCCTAACAGTGCCAGTCAGTGCCATCTAACAGTGCCAGTCAGTGCCACCTATCAGTGCCAAATATCAGTGCCATGTATGAGTGCTGCCTTTCAGTGCCCATCAGTGATGCCTGTCAATGCCCATCAGTGCCACCTACCAGTGCCTCCTCATCAGTGCCCATCAGTGCAGCCTATCAGTGCCCATGACTGCAGCCTCATTAGCGCACATCAGTGAAGGAGAAAAATTACTTATTTACAAATTTTTATAACAAAAACTAAGAAAAAAAATTTTTTTTTTCAAAATTTTCAGTGCTTTTTGGTTTGTTTAAGAAAAAATTAAAAACCCAGAGGTGATTAAATACCACCAAAAGCTCTATCTGTCACAAAAAAAATTATAAAAATGGCATATGCGTAAAGTGATCGTGCAATTGTCATTCAAAGTGTGAAAACGCTTAAAGCTGCAAATTGGCCTGGGCAGGAAGGGGGTATAAGTGCCCGGTAGGCTAGTGGTTAAAGAAGCAGGTTCTGGGCTGTCATCCCTGTATTTCTCTTCTCTACTCCTGTTATTTATCTGGAACAAGAACATCAAAACAGATTCCAAAACATTTGATATGCATCCTTGTTCTAGGTTAAGGACTTGTCTAGGTGTGAAGGAAGGATAGGACCAACGACCCTGCAGCATGCACCAAATTATAAATAGTAGCTCCAGTAACTTTTTTTCTGTCTTCTGTTCAAGAAAAATAATTTTACTCTAATGCATGCACATTTTTCAATATTACTAAAGTTTAATTTTTAATGTGACGTTCAGATTTTTAAATGCTTGTTTTTTTCCTGTTGTTGTAAATTACTGTTTAATACGGAGTTTAACCACTAGAGGGAGGTCTATATTTGTTTCAGCCTCACAACCTACATGCTTAAAAGAGAAATATGGCCAAAGCCCTTTTGGCCATTCTTCTCATGTGGGTCACAGAAGTGCAATACTGTGATCCAAAATCAGCCAACACAGCAGGCTAAGCCTCTTGTCAGCTGACGTCACAAGCCACTCCACACTCTGAAGGGATCCCAACAATAATGCTGGGATCTACTCAGATGCCCTATAGAGTAAACCGTTAGGTCATTGACCTTCAGTGCAGTGATATAGGGACTTATCTATTCCGAGCATGTGAAGACAGATTTCCAGTGGACTGAGCGGATGAAACCTACTAGAATAGGACAATGCTCATGAAGGGCTGTCTCCGCAAGTGATGTGGTACGCTAAGAGCACGGTAAGACACAAAAGGCGCTGTGGTCAACCACTGCACCCTGCCCATCTCTAACTGTCTCGGCTCTTGTCCTGTCATTGGAGAAAGATGGAATCTGGAAGAGAGATTGAGGCTGACTATGCTCACCTCTCCCTCACTTTAATCCAGTTCACGCACAAGTCTTGACATCTCCTAACTCCCATAAATTTTTAAAGTCCTGTGGCGATGGGCGAGTGATGAAGCAGCAGCAGGATACACTGGGAGCTGTAGCCGCGGACCTGCACACAGGCGGCTCACATCTAATGATCGTCTTCCTGCTCACCGAAGCAAGAGCTGGATTCGGCATCTACCCGAGTGACTGAGCAGCCCTTTTTAGGACCACACTGCTCACCTCCGTAGAAAGAGGATAGTGCTGGAAAAGGTGCCCTAAACATTGTTGCTTCACAGAACCCTGGCCAGCTTACCATGACTGGAAGGTATCCCATTTCAAGTGGTCGAATAACAAAACTTCAAAGAAAACATAAAGTGACACCACTCACTATTGGCACATGGAACGTACGCATGCTTCAAGACAACCCCTCATCAGATCAACCAGAAAGAAGAACAGCCCTGGTCACCAGATAGCTCGCTAGATTTAACATCGATGTCGCGGCCCTATGAGAAACTCGTTTAGCCAACGAAGGTCAGCTTACAGAAACAGGAGGCAGGTATACTGTACATTCTTCTGGTGTAGACGCAGCAGTAATGAACGTCATGCATCTGGAGTTGGCTTTGTGGTTAAGAATCATCTTATCTGCAGACTTGCCAGTCTTCCCAAGGGCATGAACAACTGACTCATGACACTGCATCTCCCACTACAAAGAGGAAAACAAAACACACTGATCAGCGCCTACGCACCCACAATGACGAATCAGGATGAAGTAAAAGTTTTATGAAGATCTCAATGCCCTACTCTCATCCTTGAAGCACACCGAAAGGCTGATTCTACTTGGCGATTTCAACACAAGAGTAGGATCCGATCATTCTGCCTGGGATGGCGTCATTGGAAAAAATGGGATTTGCAAATGTAACAGCAATGGACTATTACTACTGAAGACATGTGCAGCTCACGATCTGATCATCACCAATACCATCTTTCACCTGCCCACTCGCAAAAAGACGTCCTGGATGCACCCACGCTCCAAGCACTGTCATCAATTTGATCACCACTTATTATTATACCTTGAATTCTTTTAGCCAATATGATTTCGTACCATACACACAAAATTTGCCTTATAATAGATAAATATAAAAATTTATTTATGTACAAAAAATTATATATATATTAACACAAAACACAAAAGACTGGTGATAAATGAATATTGGTACACACAATCAAAAATATATCCTACCAATGTAAGACACACTAATAATGTCTCTAACTAATTACATCAATCACAAATTTAAATGATATGATATTTATTAAATTTATTAATAATTAATATAATTTCGAATATCTCAAAGGTTATATTCTTACATGCCGTGGCCATAGGCTTGCAAGAAGTAAGCCCTTGATATATGATACTCTGGTTATTAATATTCAATAAATTATGAAATATGGAAAAATTTATAATATGGCAATAAACAATTTTTTTTTTTTTTAACAGTAACACAGTATCTGACTACATATATCTAACTATCCAATATTGTTGTAATACACTAAGGTAATTTTTATGATTCTACACAACAGAGAAAGTAATTAATACAAATCAAATAAACATCTCTCCACACCCGGACGTCAGACTAGGCAACTCTCCCGTGGATTTAGCTGGCAGTGGAACGCCTTTAGACTGATATATAGGCAAGTGAGAGATTCAATAGGGGAGAATGTAGGAAGTTATAAGTTTAGAGGTTTAAAGTTTTAGGAAGTTTGAAAAGATGGAAGAGTAGTTATTTCAGCAGAGATCTTCTTCAGATGTCAGGTCTTTCCATGAGGTCTTATGAGGTTCTTCTTTTTCATGAGGTTTTTTTTTTTTTTTATGTTACAGCACATGGGCTTTTTTATATATCCTAGTCCATTGTTCTAAGATACCTTCCCACCAGGCTTCCTGATTGGCTAGTTGAGAAATGTGTGTACATAAGCTATTTCTCACCTGCCCGCCAGGTGGCGGTCATGTATCACAGAACAATGTGAGTATTTGAGATGACTCATACCTTGGGTGGAATCTTCAGGTAATTTCAGGAATAAAATATACGGCTCTATCCAGATATAGCAGTGATCATACCTATGATATTCTAAATAGGGACCATGGAATATAGGTGTATATTCGGTTATTCCTCCTTGAAGTATCATCCTGTTTGTTTCCTGATAAGACATGTAACTAATGCTAGTTTATAATACATCTTACTTCCCATCATCTCAATACTCAAGTTAGTGATATATAGTTCCCATTGCTGAGTATTTAGTGTTTTAAAGTCTATGACATCTTATTTATAATCTGTTTTTGTAGTACATTTTTGTAATGATATACAGTGAACTTTTAAACTTAAATGTCCTGAATTTCACCCCTTGGTTTCAGCATCAACATTTCCTCTGTGTGTAGGGAAAAAATCTCTGTTTGCCTAGCCCTTGTATCGGACTCATGGTAAACAATTGTTAATGCTTTCACCCTTGGTGAACAATAGTAGATAGTAATAGTTTCAGAGGTTTGTTGGTTCATCACACTCTACAGGTTTTGGTTAAGCTTCCAAACAGTTGAGTTCCCGTCTCATTATTGTTGAAATGTTTACAAGTCAGAGTCCTATGTGTTTGACTTTCTGTAGATGCATTCTTCTCACTTCCATATACAAATAGTCCTTGTTGACAGTTTAAACAATCCCATTGTCTTGGAAAAGTCTTAATTCCCTGTTCTCTTCAGTTCTTTAACTAGAATTCTTGAAGGTTTAACCAAGACAAAATTAACTCTTAACATCCGGTTCTGCTGAGCTGTTTGCTATATAACATTATGTCTTGATAAAAGTCATATTTTTGACATGATGATTCCAAAAGCCCACAACAAAATCCCCCTTTTTTTTGGGGTACAGGCACGTGTATAGGGGTGTCTGTGTCGAAAAAAAACATGAGTGAGGCTTTTGGCTAGAGTGATTGTTCGTCTTCTCCGGTGAAGGGAATGAAATAATAAAAAAAAAAAATTTCCGATAATAAAATGGCAGCGGTCATGCTGGTTGTTCCTCAACTTGACTCGGCGTCTTTAGATGGACACTTCCGATGACGATCCTGGTCTTGTGATGAGGCCGGCCTGGCCTGACACATCCACCTTGGGGTCCATGGGTCCTCCGCACGACAGGTCTCTTAGACGGTCTCCTAGGCGGGTCTTTTCCTCTGGACTGGCCCTTGGTGGCCTGGGACATCAGGTTATCGTCTCCGGATCGATCTCTGGCATCTGGTCTTTCCCACAGGACATTATAGCTTCCTTCTAGGGTCCGGTCATTGACACCTCCGATCGCCGGTCTGGTCATAGTCTGGGCCTTCCTTTCTAAATTATTAAAATGAACAGTTTGAGTAATGGATATACATAAAATTATGTTACTGGATCCTGTAAGGCAAAAAGATGAATTATATGTTTAAAGGAAGTTTAAGAATGATCTCAATATCTCCAGATAGGAATTGGTGGGTTTTAGTCTTCCAACAACTGCAATTGAGACTTCGGATGGCAAGCACGTAATTGGTTGATGTGCACCCATCTATCACTGATTTCACCATACCGTGTGTCACCTGCAATTTATATGCGACCGGAGAGATTTTATCAATGATAGAGAACGGACCTTTCCAAGATGGAAGGAATTT